CAGAAAGCTACTAGGCAAGCTTTTGGACTTATTACACCAGTTTGCCTAATAAATCGTTGTAACTCTTGACGATTTCAATGGCTTTTTTTAGAAAACTATATTCGTCACTCAAAAAATACTTTTTAGTTTTGTTCTTTGTTTATTGTATAGATTTCAATTATAATTACTAGTACTAATATAGAATGTTAATTTACCTTCTCAAAAGTCTTTAATTATGCAGATAAATAATAATATAGAATATTAAATTGTGATAAAAAATAATTAGGCAAATAAGCAAACACAAAATCAAGGCCCGCTTAGATATAAAGATAAAAAAAACTTAATTAATATTTCTCTCATTGTTAGAAATAGATGCCCATAACTTTATATCGTTGGAAAGGATTAAACGTTTCTTTCTTCTTCTTTAAGTTCATAGCCAACTATGATTTCCATTTAAAAAATTATATTTTTTATTATTTCTGACAAAAAGAGCAAGCATAGAAAAAAAATTACAACGCCACTGGATTTTGCTTAAAAAAGTGCCTTAAGAAGACCCCGTATCTCAGTTGGCAATGAAAATATCAACAGGCGGTTTCGCCATTAAACGTGTCTCAGAAATCGAGCCCATGACATCTATGTCGGTTTTGCTCTATCTAGTCAGGATATAGGATTGCTCTGTTAAAACAGACCAATCTCGACCACCCTGTACATTGATCTAACGTTTTCTTCTTTAGATAAAGTGACATTTAGATTTGAACATGATTGAGTTTCTTCCATAAGTACTCCATCCTTACTTAATTCTTTGGTTGATTTCTGGTAGTAGAGATCCTGTGTATTAGTTGTCCCAAATACATGTATTCTTCTACTATTACTTAAGAAGAAATATCATGATCTATGTCTTGATCCCCTAGGATGACAAAAATATTACAAAATATAACCCTTGGATTTGCAAAAAAGTATCAAAATATTTCACCGGAAGATATCACCAGCAAAAAAGTAGAAAAAGTATTAACAATTACAGAATTTTTAAAAATGGATACCAAGAAGATTCCACGACTTCTATCTATCCTTTATCAGTTTGTTATTAAACTAGTAATTTTACTACGAAAATAACAACACTAAGGAAAGGAAGGGATTCCTATTGTAGGACGATTTTACATACCGGTGTTAAATTTTCCTTATTACGGTAAGACCTAACGATTACTACTCAAAATTTACATAGTAAAGCCTTAACCGACGCCAAATTACGATCATTTTTGGCACCCGACTCGAGGCAGAAAGACCAAAATTACCCTTTTAATTTTCTAATAAATATTCATAATAGCAGACTATCGAAGGATCACTAAAGGTCCTTTATAGTGGTCCAAGTTTACCTGCAGGATAAGGTTAGAATAGTAAACTGCTCTTTATTAATATACCGAATGGTGCATTGTCTTTGGAAACATAGGAAATCTCATGCAAATTTTGAACTGTCCAAATATTTGGTCCCCTTTTTGTTTTACCGAGAAGTCGCATAGATTTTTTTCTGAAAGAAAGGTAAAAATCGCTATGTGTAATGGTTTTCAAATTATTTGTAGTCGAAATAGTCAATACATACAAAAATTATTGTGTGGGGGAAGGGATCATAGTTTCATAGTTGTCGATTTTGGAAAGAAATCAATACATGTATATTATTTCGTATATTTTTCATATTATTAGTTTTATGGAAAGCACTGTTCATTAAAATGTTATATCCTATGTTATAAGGCTTGTTTCTCTCTACAATTTCCTGTCTCACAATGTACCTTTTGTGTCCGGGAAGGGTTCATAGTTTCATAGTTGTCGATTTTCGAAAGAAATCAGTATATGTATATTATTTCGTATCTTTTTCATTTTATTGATTTTATGGAAAGAACTGTTCATTAAAATGTTGTATTCTATGTTATAGGGCTTGTTTCTCTCTACAAATTCCTGTCTCACAGTGTACCGTTTGTGTCGGGGAAAGGATCATAGTTTCATAGTTGTCGATTTTCGAAAGAAATCAGTACATGTATATTATTTCGTATATTTTTCATTTTATTGAGTTCATGGAAAGCACTGTTCATTAAAATGTTGTATTCTATGTTATAGGGCTTGTTTCTCTCTACAACTTCCTGTCTCACAATGTACCGTTTGTGTCCGGGAAAGGTTCATAGTTTCATAGTTGTCGATTTTCGAAAGAAATCAGTATATGTATATTATTTCGTGTATTTTTCATTTTATTGATTTTATGGAAAGCACTGTTCATTAAAATGTTGTATCCTATGTTATAGGGCTTGTTTCTCTCTACAAATTCCTGTCTCACAATGTACCGTTTGTGTCGGGGAAGGGATCATAGTTTCGTAGTTGTCGATTTTCGAAAGAAATCAGTACATATATATTATTTCGTATATTTTTCATTTTATTGATTTTATGGAAAGCACTGTTCATTAAAATGTTATATCCTATGTTATAGAGCTTGTACCGTTGTGAGAACAAACATGTTGACTAGATATATTTTATATTAATTACACTTTTAGTTACGTGGACCTACTTAGCTATGGACATACTTACCATGGACATACTCGGCGCCGGGCTGACTAACTGGAATTTAAATTTCCCGCTGGAGATTCAGGTGGTAGCTCTGCTGTAAAAAATGTCAAGCTACCGCATTTATTTATTTATTTTATTTCCTGACATTGTCATTCGTTTTGTATTACGAGCTTTTATTAATATCATCTAATAAACACGCTGTAAAAATTTTAGCATGCCTAAAGTATGTTTTTCAGGTATAATAATTAAACATATTTGGAATGGTCGGGTTACACTTTAAACCCGAAAACCGAAAAAAAGTCTGGCATACTTATTTCTAGGTTAAATAGATGCTAAAATTTACGAATAAACAAATTTCAAGTTGCCTAAAGAATGTTTTTTGGATTTATTTTTTTGCAAATGTTATGGGTTGCGCAGTAGCGAAATACCCCCAACCCCCCGCCAGACTTAGGATTCTGGGTTCACCAGTTAATAAACTATACATTTTTAGTTATTCTAGCTTGCCTAAAATATGTTCTCTAAATATGTCGTCAGCTCTTAGGCTATAACTATTTCCATTCCAAATATCTTGAGAACGGCTGCTCCTAACGATTTTTACCAAGAGCCCTTTTTTTGCGTTTTATACAGGTACAGAAGTTATTACCATTCAAAACAGTTAAGAAACATGTACGTGGCGCCCCCTATAAGTAAAACGAACTAAAACAAAAGTCTGTAAAAAAGGATGATAATTGTGCTGTAGACGCCAACAACCAAAGCGTAAAATCTAGTTAAATGTTGGCAAGACAGCTAGCTAGCACAAAAGAATTTAAAAAATGTATTAACGTAACTATATATCCAAAGAAATATATTATTTTACACTATTTTCTACTTTACTAAAAATAAACTACGTAAATTTTGATATTTGTGAAACTTTTCCTATACAAACCAGAAAATCTCCCTATACAAGATGTAGCCATACATGCCGAAGACGTAGACAAACTCTTTGAATTATTGACTTTTAGACGCCGAGTCGTGATATTCGAACTTCAAGGAAACAAAACAAGTTGATAAAAATTGATATAAACTGCATCATGGAAAAATCCTTGGGGGAATATAAATATACGGTTCTGTTATAGTTTTGTCCTTGGATTTTGAAAGAGATTGCGAGATTATTTAATTTTCTAGTTTTCTACTTTGTACTGTTTCTTTATCAAATATCTGGTTAAATTATAATATCTTTTTTGAGGGAGTTTAGGATAATTTAACTGTTTAATTTTGTTTTGTTTGTAAATTAAGAATCTTTTTATAGTGGTTCTTTATAGTGCTCTCCAGCTATTTTATCAAATATAATTAAAATGTAAGGCTATTGTGTTTTTATTTCTGTAGTTGTAGGGATGTTCCTCGAAAACAATAGCGTTGTCCCTGGTATACTACATTTCTTTTAAGTTTGCATATTCCAAAAAAAATGTGGTTTAGTATACAAAGGAACTACAAAATGTAATATTTGCTACAAAGAGTAAAATGATGTTTACCAAAATATTTTAAATGTTATTTATACAGGGTGAGTTTCCTATGATGTTTTCTATGGGTATCTCGGAAACTACTGAAGATAGAGAGTCGGTTAAATTGGAAAAGAATTGCAGTTTTGTGGGGTCATAAATATGCGCCTTTCAGATTTTTAAAAAAATTTGTCCCTAATTTCATTATAATCTATTTTAGACATAACATTTTCAGATAAAAGTTGTAAATAATCACATCCCTAACGAGTTTGTGTTCTCCGATTTTTTCTAAAGTTTTTATTTTTGACCATAGTTGGCCATGACTTTATAAAAAGCGCCATTTTTTAAGCTTTTCAGCGATATAAGCTATAATATGTTTTTTTTTTTCACAAAATTACTGAGTTATAGCAATTCTTATCTTACTTGGCTAATTTCTATTAACAGCCATGGAAACAAGTTCAATCGTCGTTGCTTTCAGAAATGTGAAACTGACATTTATTTTCTAAAATAATTTAAAGTGTATGTAGTGATATTATTTTCTTTAGTTTTAGTTTGTGTAATGTAAATTGTAAAGAGCCGTTTAATAATATATTTTGTCTTTTTATAAGTTATAAATCATAACAAAATAAAAACACCATGCCAACTAAGTGAAATTAGTCAAGAAAGATAAGAATTGGCTATAACTTTTGGTGGCGCTTTTTATGAAGTCATGGCCAACTATGGTTTCCATTTAAAAAACATATGTTTGTGTCTGTCATATGTCAAAAATGACAGACTTTAGAAAAAATCGAAGAACACAAACTCATTAGCGATGTGATTATCTACAAATTACATATGAAAACTTTTTATCTAAAACAGATTATAATGGAATTAGGGACAATTTTTAAAATAGCCAAAATTTGTTTTTTTCGAAATATCTAGTAAGCCATCAACTTTTTTAAAAATCTGAAAGGCGCATATTTATGACCCCACAAAACTGCAATTTTTCCCCTTTTAACCTACTCTCAATCTCCAGTAGTTTCCGAGATACCCATAGAGAACATCGTAGGAAACTTACCCTGTAAACATAATTCATTTGTTATAAATTTCATTATAATAACAATTTATTATCTATTTTCAGGGTGGAGATGTAGTGCAAGAGACAATATCAGCAAATGCTAGCGATGACACCGTCACTTTAGAATTTCAGAGGTCTGATGGTACTCTAGTAACTCAGCTTATAGACTTTAGAAATGTAAGTAATTTTATTTTAGCCTATATTTTAATTGTTTTATTAGATATGTTTTAAAATCAATTGAACATTTACTCAATATTATGTAGAAACATGTTTTTGAGAATTATTTTTAATTGTTTGCAGCGTTCTCTTGCTTCTTTATGATGAAGAGGTAGTGATACTGATTGGAATACCTAACCAGTTTTTAAATTCAACTAATACCTATAAAAGTTAATTTTGGTATACTGTTTTACATAGATCAGTGATGAAATGAAATTTAGGAAAAAGCGTTGACAATACTTAACAGTAAATTAAGTATTTCTCTCGTTTTTTTGAGATACTGGCTACAATTACGATATTGGATTGATAAATATCTTCGTAATTTTTATACAGAATAAAATTTATTTGTGCATATAATGTAATTGATTAATAATATCATCGAAATAAAATATTTATCAAAAAGCTAAGAATCATAACTTAACAAATTATAATAATTATAAGTATAGTTTTGCATGTACTTAAAAAGGAGGATATAATTTGCAATGACACTTCATCGTCTAACCTTAATAAATCTACTTACAATAATCATTTATATCATTTATGTATTTCATATGTTATAAAAGGTTTGTTTATGTCAGTAAATAGCTTTTAATTTAAAAATTTATTCGAAATATACTTTATTTTTAAAGATGTATTTTCTTAATCTACAATACTCGTAATTTAACTCTTAATACGTCATAATCTAAAATTAAAAAAAAAATTAATTATTTTTTAATATTTTTATACACATTAAGTAAAATTTAGTAATTTCAATTTCTGTCAAAAAATTATGTCATTTCAAATAACTATGTAGTCAACATGTTTATTTTTTGTCAGTGATGACATGTATGTTTTGATTGAACGGGTTTTACGTAAAAAAACGGCGGATGTATATTTTTCTCAGCAGTTTAATACGACACGGGCCAAAACTTATTACTCTTTAAAACAGTTCACAAACATGTGGGTGCCCCTACAAGTATTCAAAGGAAGGAGTCTTATTGACATCAAAATCAAATTTTCCATATCCCAGACACCATTTTTTATCCAAATATCGGCATTAGTTCGGAAGTTATTTTGAAGAACTCGAAATAAAAATGAAACTTCTACATCCTGTATCTCCTAAACGAAACATTTTGGCGTATTTTTACGAAGTTTTTTACTTATTTTTATCTGCAGTATATGCTGCCGAAGTTTCCCGAATGTAATACAAACCACCCTGTATAGAGTATATAAATGATATTTTTACCAGAAGTAAAATAGAAAATTAAAATTAAAGAAACTCAAAATATCCTTTTTTGTAGAAAGTGAGATAAATGTTTTCAAGATAATGAAGCATATATAATTAACTTATACACACCCTATAACTTTATTTAACTTATTTCGACTTCAAAGGCTTCTTCAGACCATATTAATAATTAAATATTAATACAACCCTAAACTTTACTGTCCTTGAACTAAACAACTCTCTACCCTAATATACTCCCTAAAGACCTTCGGGTTGATTCAAATATTGTCTCGCATAATACAAGCGAACATGATCCGCACGCCGCGCCGCGCCGTCTTAGCTTAATACGTGTTTACTCACATTTCGAAAGTCAATATGCCTGGAACGCCAGTCGACCCCTAGGAATTCCAATATGACACAGTGATGCCGACGCGTCGGCTTGCCACCAGTGGCGTACTAAAATAGACAAAATTAATAGTGTCTAAAATATACTTATATGTAATAATTCCAATCTCTTAAAAGGAAGTTGTAAATAGATGACTTCCGTAAATTGGCCACCGTAGGTTTTGATTTTTTCTTCCAATAAAAATATTAAGGAAGGAACATTCCAAAACCTGTAAAAAACGTTTTAAAAACTGTAAAAATACAACGTATGGTTGACTCAATGATTTGTTTTTTTTGCTATTAGTTATTAAAATTGTTGGAAAAATTATTATGTATGAACTAAATTGAAACCGCATCATTACTACAAACAACAAAATGAGCATCATAGATGGATAAGTTATGAACGTTATAAGGGTTCATTAAATATATTCTTACTATAAAGAGTCGCAGGGCTTTGACAATATCCAGTATTTGAGACAGTTTTACAGAGGTTAGTTCTCCATCTCCGATATCAGTCGTACCAAAGTTTATGGAATGAATGGTTGTCGTCTCGGCGCACTCATTGATGAGGTGATCTGCTGTTTCCTCATTTTCCCCACTGAATCTGCATTTACCGTTGTTTCTTAGCTTCAGTCTACTGAGGTGTGCATTGAGTAGACAGTGTCCTGTCCGTGATAATTCGAAGATTGTTCTTACTTAAATCAAGGAAAATCTTTAATTTTACTTGGTCCTAAGTCCTGAGATAAATCTAAGATTCATCATCAAAAAAATTAAAGGTGTCATCCTATTCATGTTCTTCAGTCTCTCTTGAAGATGATGAGGTAGCAGTTGTACCAGTCTGAACAGCTCTTCCAAGATGATTTTAGGACATTCGCAAATTGCAAAATGGTTTATTTTTTCCCAAAAGTTTGGAATTATTAAAATTGTATATCTCGCTATTTTTTTTTTTCGATTTATTGTATTCAGAAATTTATATTCTATAGTTTTATCATTCTATACCCTACAGAAATGTAAAAAATATATTTCAGTTTTAAAAGCCCCATTACAACACATTTTCTATTCAGTTTCATTATAGTTTAAAATTGTTGAAACGAATCCGTGCTTGTGTTAAAGTATTCATTTGCCAGTAGTAAAAAAAACCCTGTTTTTTGAATTTTTTCCCTGATCCATTAAATATATAGAAAGGAAAAAAGGGATAAACGCGGCCAAACGTTAAATAATTGATAAAAGCATTTACCTGTATATGTATGTGTTTAATCTACTAGAATTAATCGCTATCCATTTGAGTTTCTAAACAAAACAGGGCAGTTATTTGGCCTAATACCTGTTTATTATCCATTTAGGCATACAAATATTATTAATAATTCATAGAGATATACATTAGCATTATTCTATCAATACTTTTCGATTTTTTTGTACCCAAAGTCGTTTGGAAACAGAAAACAATCGGTAATTTACCTCTATTTTGTATTTAATATCTACTTAATTTTATAAATTCATAATGGAGATTTTTTATAGATACAGTTTAGTAAACTATATTATCAATCTAATTAATATGATATTAAAAAGAAATTACAATCTATACTAATATATAAAATCCTTAAGTGACTCACTGATTAATCATGATCCTGCTCAAACCACTCAACGTAAGAAGCTCAATTTTGGCATACAGGTTTATTCTAGGGTGGACAGGTTCAATAAGAAGGGATTTTTCGAAATTCCAGTTCCAAAGGGGTGAAACCACCTCTCAAATATTACAATATTTTTTATTTAAAAAACGGTCAAGTTTCCGAAAAAACGCTTAAACACGTATATTTTATTTTGTTTTTTTACATATTTTAAGATTTTTTAAAAATGTATACAGGGTGTTTCGAAAAATCTGGTCATTGATTAATCATGATCCCGCTTAAAGCGCTTGACGTAAAAAGCTGATTTTTGTAAAACGGATTGACTTTTGGGGTGTAGAGGTCCGATAAGAAGGGATTTTGCGAAACTCGAATTCTAAGGGGGTGAAACCGCCCATCAAATATTAGAATATTTTTTATTTAACCAAACCGGTGAGTTTTTCGGAAAAACCCTTAAACACGCATATTTTATTTTGTTGCTTTACATATTTTAAGGTTTTTAAAAATTTATAGAGGGTGTTTCATAAAATATGACCATTGAGTAATCACGATTCTGCTTAAACTGCTTGACGAGGAGGGGTTTCTCGAATCTCAAATTCCAAGAGGGTGAAAACGCCCCTCAAATATTACAATATTTGTTATTTAAAAAACGGTTAGTCTTTCGGGAAAACGCTTGGACACGCATAATTTATTTTGTTTTTTACATATTCTGAAATTTTTTAAAAAATCATACAGGGTGTTCCAAAAAGTTGGGTAATTGATTAACCACGATTCTGCTTAAACTGCTTGACGCAAAAAGCTTATTTTTGGCAAACGGATTTTTCGAAAGTCAAGTTCCAACGAGATGAAACTACCCCTCAAATATTACCAAGTTATATAGTAAAATCGCCATATTGTTTTTCTCATGCTGACATAAATGTGAGAAGATTTTATCCAGTTTGTATGTTAATGGAAATTCTTGCTTTGCTTTATCATCACCATTACAAATGATTAATTCGACGCAAACGAAGTCGCGGGTACACGCTAGTATCTAATAAAATGTAACTAAAAGTATAAAAGAAAAATTTTTTGTTCTTCACTTTTTTATTTAATATAACTATTTTATAAAACCGTATTATCATTGCTTTTTGATATTTAGTGGATTAAATTGCTTCTGTTATTAGCTTCATCAGTTGGTATGCTATACACACACGAAAATATATCGTCTAGCTTTACTGTGTAACTAATATTTGAGGTCAAAGGGGGGCAAAACTTCGTTAATGATATGAAATATCCCCTTTCACTTTGCTATGTTCATACACAGCTATATTTGAAATTGTGTAATAATTACACTAATTGTTTCAATTATATTATATCTTTCTTATTCCTCATTTACGTGTTTAGTGTTTAATGATGTTAGAGTTATATTTTTGTATAATTTTTTGTTCTTAAATCACCTGTATAATAGTTTAAATTTCACAAATGCATTATTTAATGTATTTTTATATACAAGGTGGTCCTAACTATATTCCGGAAACTTCGGCAGCATATTCTGCAGGTAAAAATGAGTAAAAAAGTTCGTATAAATGTATGTTCTAAAATGCTTAGTTTCGAAGATACAGGGTGCAGAAATTTCATTTTTATTTCAATTTTTTCCAAATAATTTCTGAAGTAACGTCAATATTTAGATGAAAATTGGTGTCTGGGAGTTTTTTGACATGAGAAATTTGATTTTGATGTCAATATGACTCATATTTGTAGGGGGCACC